CTAAACTGAAATTAATTGTTTATGAGAGAAGAAAATTAGGAGCTGAACTGAACTAAAATTAAGCCGAAGAGAAAGACCCTTAAAAGTTATATTTTAGGTTGAATTTTGGTTGAATTGGATACTCACAAGATCACAATTCCGTTAGTTGTGATTGTTAAACAATTTGTTTGTAAGACATAATAATATGGGTGTCGTTGACATGAAACAAACGGCCAGCAAATTGTGAAGATTACTTTCATTGAGATGTCTGCCACCAAGTTGTTGGCCGCAACAACAAAAATGGTCAGCTTTTCATTGGATCACACTTCACATGCCTAGTATTTTCAGTATGCTTCATCATAAAAAAAATTAAAATGGGGGAAATTAAATGAAAAGTAAATGATGACAATTTGAATTTTTTTAGAAAGGTAACCTTGTAATAGTGGTCACCATAAGCCAATTGATATGTAATTTACCCTTTTGATTTGGACATGTATTCCATATAAAGTTAAGCGATTGATTGGTTGAACATGGAGATTTAGAACTACCACTTTAATGAAGATAATTTGCCGTGTAAAGTTTTAATATGCAACAATTGTTTTGTTGATTGTGAAAAGTTATTACTTAACTTATGGATCGATCCACACAGTTAATTTCCTCCACTTTGTAGGAATTAGAAAGAGAGGAATTTCACAATTTTCTATGTTTTTGTCAATAAAACCATTTTCATAATTCCTAAATATTTACTCCATATACAATACTACTCATTTTCGCATGTATGTTTTTTCATGTCAGCTTAATAAACACCTAATTAAGTTACATTAATCGACTCATTGTATATCTTTGTTTCTCTTTTACACTTGACTACTTGAGGTTGGTTTCATTAGAACCCCTTTGCTGGCTTCGCATACCCATATGGACATTGTTAGAGCCTCAAAGGAGCATCAAAAAAATTATAATGAGGATTTGAGAACACTGTCCAAATTCCAATTTATACTAGGTATCTAAAATATTTGGGCCTATGCCTGATTTTTTTATTTATTTATTTTTTTAAAAAAAGAAGATAAATCAAATTATAACTTTGCTCCACTATTTATTTTTTTTAGAGAGTAAGAGATAGCTCAAGTGGTTAGAGATTTCATCCCGATTTCATGAGATCTTGGTATCGATTCTCACCCCTGTTCTTGTGGCTCTCTAAACACTAAAAAAAAAACAAATTTCCTTCTTTCAAAAAAGTAGTAGTAAACTACATTACTTGTAACTTTTTTTTTCTTGCTGCAAAGATTTACCTTGTAACTTTGATATGACTATATTAGTTGATGAAAAACTTGTTATGGTATTGAGGTATGAGGGAGAGGATTACCCTATTGTGTCACTTTTAAGGATTAGTTCTCTTCATTTAAAATAAAAAGATATGGTTTGATTCACCACTACTACATACTCTCTCCATTTCGTAATAATCGTAATACTTTCATCTTATGTCAGTTTCACAATAATTGCAACAATTCTTTATTTAATAAGGACTCACTACTATTTTATTATTTTTCTTTGTTTAATAAGGACCTAATGTTTAGGTCACTTACACTTTTTTTATTATTATTATTTTTCTCCTACAAATAATTAAATATATTCGTATTGAATATACTTTATACGAGTACTAGGTTAGAACTCGTGCGATGCACGATTTATATAAAGCATATTTTTAATCTGTACATTTTAGAAATAAATCGCTATTATACATGACTATAAATAAGAATTACGTATAGTTTGTAATTATAAATTTTTATTTTAACCAAAATTATGATATAGTATGTTGTTTAATCCATAGTTCAATGTATGAGGTCATTTATGAGTGTGCTATTTAAAATTGTTTCAATTTCCTACGATAAATTGATAGATTTTAGTTATTATGTAGAAGCTTTCAATATTTAAATTTCAAAAATGTTAAATATAATAGCTACCCGAAAAAAAAATGATATCATCATTGCATTTAAATGGAAAAATTATTATTGAAAAAACGACACTTGGACAATGATAATCTCAGTAACTCCTGTTTTAGTAATTGTTAATAAATTATAAAATTCTCCTTTTAGTCTCCCGTCTCCACCCTATAATTTGTCTTAAAATTTAAACGGAATGTGTAGTCAACTTATTCAGGCCGGCACTCAGTCAAATGTACTTGTACAATCAGCTAACCTCTGTTTGGCAAACACTTAAACATGGCCCTAGTAATAAATTCAGCCAAAAAAACCAAAAATTGTTTACTCTAGTATACACGTGGACGCAAAGTAGGGGGTAAATGTACAGATGTGTGTGACGTACAATTGTACATGTACTCTACACCTCTACTAATTAATTTATTTACGGAGTAGTTTTTTTTTTTTTTTTTTTGAGTTTGCGTCACCTGGTTCAGGTGAGCTTAGCTCCGATTATATTCAGATTCAACTCGGGTTGCACACCTGATTTATGGTGGGTGAGTCTTTCAATAAGAGTTTCTATATTCGGTGAGGCTCGAACTCAAAACCTTCCTTAAGCGGCATCAAGTTGCTGGTGTCAAGCTGCTTACCACTCGATTCAACTCTTATTGGTACTCTACAACACAATATAAATAAAAATGAATATAAAGTCAATAGACCTCATAGAAACGCAGAAAATAAGGTGAAAGTGAAAGAACCTCATTGTTTAATCTGGTAGAGTAATAAACGAACAGCACTCTAGTTGTTGGTTTATGCAGCTTGGATTAGATTGATCAAAATAATGTAACTTGTCTTCTTCTCCAATCCTAGATAGCTAACTAGGTAGTAGACTGTTAGTGTGGTTAAAAAAGATTCATTGGAAGATAAAATTATAATCGATCTACTCGTAATATATATTCCCCGTGAATCAAACCTCTTTACCACGAGGGTTACTTATTAGGGTTTAATTATAGGCCGATTATTGTTGAGCATCTTCAATGGTTGTATACTTGTAATTGTATATTCTTATTTTAGGTTTACTACTTACCTATATACAGAGTATTTTATGGAGTATATTTTTTCATTCTTTTATGAATTTATTACTTTATTATTATGTAGGGTTTAATCAAGAGTTGTAATCCTATTATTATCATGCACCATAGTAAGATAGTTTGAAAATTAACATATTTACGGTGTATTTGGATTGAAGGAAGGAGGAAACGAAAGGGAAGAGAAATGGAGAGATGGAGTATCATTCATTTGTATAATAAATAAGAAAGGAAGAAAATTTGAGGGGAGAGAAATAGAAGGATTAAATTGTAGGAAATTGATCATTCCAATAATAGAGAGATTTAGAAGGAAAACTCACAATTCTTCCCAACCCTCCTCTTCTCCTCCCTCTCCTTGTCCCCTTCTGTTCTTTCCTCTTTCTCTATCCAAACGACCAAACACACTATTAAGATAACTTTAATTTTGTAACGTTTTCTTTTACAAAATCTTCATGCATGGGTTATACTTTGTTTCTTTTTAATTGACACGCATGTTTCTTTAGTCATGTTTGCCAATGCACAATTTCAACCATTCATATATGTGATTGCTGATAAACAAAAATTATGAAAAGTTGATATTTTGAAAATATATATCGTGACGAATCTAACAAAATCTCACATGACTATATTCTTTCATTACGTATGAAGCATAAAACACGGTCAGAGAGGAGTGTATGATAATGCTAAAGTTAAAACATATCAACTAAAAAACGGAGGTAGTATGATATATGTAGTCAGGCTACAAATAAATATTTGACGTGTAAGTATATTTTTTCTAACTTGGAATTAATTTAAGAATGTATAATAAAATCACGTGTAGATAGTAAGATAGATGTAATAAATGTTATTCCCCTATGTATCTTTTAATGTATAGAAAATGTTATATGTAACCCTTTTTCTCCGTTCTGTTTTACTTGACCCGCTTTAACTTTTACACTATTCATCACCCCTCCTTTGACCATTTTTTGTGAGTAATATATAAGGAAAAACACATTCATGTGGGATGTATTTGAATTTGTCTAAATGAGAACTATCATAATATATAACATTTATATTTTTTACTTTTAGAGAATTAAGGTCTGTTCTCATACGTTTATTTTTAGTTCAGCTCAGCTCAGCTCAGCTCAGTTCATTTCAGCTCCTTATTTCCTTCTCTTATAAAATATTCATTTCAATTTAGTTCAATTCAGTTTAGCTCAGTTCAGTCAATGAATTCAGGCCCTTAAAGTTATTGATCGTTAAAGTTTTGCGTTGACAAACGTGATAAAAAACATGGGTCAAGTAAAAAAGAGTAGAGGAAGTATTTCAGATCTAATAAACCCTTATTTTATCTTTAAATAGACATAAGTGGACTTAATTAGCCCTAATTTTTTAAATTTCATTTTAAGCATTATGTAAAGGTGAATGCATTAAACTAGTCAAGCGACATTGAAAAGACAATAACCAACCAAAATAAAAAAGCAATAAATAAGAGAGGTAGCCACGTAAATTGGGAACTCACAAATTTGCCTTTTGTGGGTTTTTTCATGACCGAAGAGAAAAAAAGGGGAAACCAATATTAGTAACATGCCACTAACCCACTATAGAGATCAGATATAGGAGAGAGAAACAACCAATTTCATACTACTCCGTAGTACCAAATACCAACTCTCTTATTCACATTTGGTGTTCGGGTTTGGTTGGGTCGGGTATAATTTGAATTTAACTCATTTAAATTTTGCGTCAATTATGTAAAAATGTTGACATTTTTGTGCATAAGATTAAAAATAGACATACTTACTTGTTATTTTATTTTATTTTATTTTTATAATTGCAACACTTCTCTTTTCACGCTTATTAAATTAATGAATAATTTCAATCGTTAATATCTTTAATTACCAAAATGTAAAAATTATAAACATTTAATATTAAAATAGTATAAGTCAAGACGAATAGTTAAAAATATTACTTCATACTCCGTAATAGTCAAAGTTTTGTATCCATAAACAGAGTAGTCACATTTCACATACGATGACGATAATAGTGTACATGTAGTTTAATGGTCAAAACCCAATTTTTTCATCTTCCTCTCTTCATTCCTTTCACTCATCATCAAACTATAAATTTTCTAGTAACTTCTTCAAAATTAACCTTGATTAGTTAGATAATAAAAAACCCATGAAAGAAAACCAGACAAACAACCAACCTGAATCATCATTTTCCAAAAAATAAATAAAAATAACCCGGATTATTGGTCGGTCCAATGTACTATTTCTCTCAAAACACAAATGAATAGTCAAATAATAAAAGAGAAAACTTGGGTGTAAAAAAAAAATAGATTTGGTAGAGATTTGAAGGTCGCTTTCTGTTTTCTGACTCTCATGAAAGACAATGACCCTTCTATTCATATTCATTCATTAATTCTTCTTTCTCTCCTTCTTCACTCTTCTCCTTAAAAATCTCACTGCCTCTTCTTTCTTTCTCTGAGCCTCTCTTACTTAAATCTAGTACGGAGTACCTCAAAGAGACACTCTATCTGCTGCTCGATTAGCTTCCCTTCTCGAGTTTATCTCGAGTTTTATCTGCTGCTCGATTAGCTTCTCTTCTCTGAGTTTTTTTATAAACACTTAAATTGTTATTATTGCTTGTTGTAGTAAGTATAGTTATTTTTTTTCCCTTTATTTAAGGGTTTGTTTACTTATTTGATTTGATGGGTTCCTAAAATTTTGCTTTCTTGTCTAAAATCCAAAAAAAATAAATAAACTTTTTTTTATTTAAATTTTTGAGGAAAAATTGAGAGTGCACATTTAGGTGGTGGGGTTGTTGTAAATATTTTCTCAGGTGGAGTGTGGATTTAGTGAATGATTGTGTAGTCTTATCAATGTTGTCTCTGAACAAAAACATTTTTTTAAAAATTTATTTTTCAAAAAAGAATTATTAAAATTAATTTGAGAATAAAATTATATTTAGAGTGTACTTTGATGGTCAGGGTGAGATCATATCAATAGTCAGTATTCTGCCTTAAAATAGATTTACATGATTCCCCATTTTAGATTCTTTTTTCATCAATCTAAGCTTTTTTGTCTTTCTCTCTCTAACATTTTCTCTCTCTAAATTCAGCCTGTTTTTTCATATCTACTCTTTAATCTTAGATTCACTAATTGCATGGTTGTGAATGATTTTTAAGAAAATCAAAATTAAATTAGAGTATTAGACTAATTATTTTTATAGTTATTAATTTTTGTTATAAAAAATTCAGTTTTCTTTTGTGATTTATGCTCCCTATGTTAATTTTTAGTAACTTGATCTGTCCCCTCTTTTTATTGCTTGTTCTTCTCCCTAGCATGATGGGTTTATGTTATTTTATTTTTATGTGTTTTAAATTTTTCATAATAATTAACAATATCAATTAATTTTTTATTACATTTGTTAAAGCTTTGCATTAGGGTTAGGGTTTGTTTAAGTAATTGCTATGTTCAGTAAGGATGAACTTAGTGGTGGTTTTTTTTTTTTTTTTGTTTATGATTTGTATTGTATGATAATTAGCTTAATTATACTTAGTTTTTTTAGAAAATTTCTCATATTTCTGTTTCTTACACTTAGAAATTTGTTAATGCAATATTATCATATATTATTCTAATTAATTTTATTTTTGACTAATTATATTATTTCTGCTATTCAATTTTTTTAGCTTCTTTTACCTTGAATGAGTCTTTACTCTTTTGAATTAATTACTGTACACTTTAGAAGAACTTTTTTTTTTAAATAATAATTTTTTATTAGTCATTTTAAGTTTATTCAAATGAACCATTAGTTTACAATAATTTGATTTGTTTAAATGAAACCGAATATCTTTGTTAGTTCAAATCACATGAACTTCATTGTTCTTTATTGATTATATACTACCTTCGTTACAGGTTATGTGCAATGATTTGACATAAAGCATATATATGCATCTTTAATTTCAATCTTCCTTGTTAACCTCACATAAATTCCTAAGTTGTCATCTCTTCAATTGAATCAATAACCGAAGAAAGCCGAAAATCATGTGTTTAATTTGTCTAATACAAGTAGTAGTTATGTTGTAATTGCATGTGTTAGAATTTATATATATTTGGATATGTTAGGAATGAAGAAGTAGTGTAAGAGAGCTTCCTTCAGCCCACTCATGGATGGAAAAAAGGGGTATAGAATTATCTGCCGACTCATTCATTCAAACACTTAGTAGTACGAAATATTATCGAAATTTGTAATGTACTACTGTGATTGCATGAATGATGCGGGAGATAGTTTCCATCCTTCTCTCTCTTTGCTTGGACTGAAGGGAGCTCCCTTTCTCTATTCCCTTCTTTTTTTCGCATTTTTCGATTGCTTATTTTCATGAACAAGTTTTGATTGTATAATTTGTTATTGATGATAATTCAAATGTTGTTTCATGGTTTAGTTGTGATATTCAATTACTTAGAATTGCCTTTTTTCTCTCCTATATTTCGTATTGTATTGATCATATTACATTTATCTAATCATTTTGTCATTTTAATCCATGGAAATTTCGGCATGGTGTATGAATTCTGTCACATTCGTAGACCAGGTGGTGATATTGATTGACAATCTTGCTTCAGAGTATACCAGTTTGAGGTATATATTCTGATCTTGTAACGAATTTCCTTCATTTAATGTTCGGCATTGTATGTTTTCATTCTTTGCTCAATATCTCTTGCCGTAGATGTTTCATGTTTGTGTTGGTTTCGGTCTTTGGTAGAAATTATGCATAACATTATGCTGTGATCTTTATTCTTATCTATTGAGTTCGCTCTAAATCTTATCTTAGAGGCTGCAATGCAGCATGAAATATACTCAGAGCTTTGCCGATATCTTAGAAGTATACAATATTGCTATGCACTTAACATGAATATTAGAGGAGACTTGAGGAGAGATCAAAATCAATTAAATGGTCATAATTGATGTCCACCAACTATTGTTTTCGCAACAAACCTTAACTTTGTTTTTTGTCTCCTGATTCTTGAAGTTTGAATCATGTAATTTTTTTTGGGTTGATTTCAATTTCCTGCTTAGCTTAATAATCCAAGCCCTTTGCTCTAGGAAATGATGAAACTACGCTTCAATTAGCTATGTATATCTTCGGTATAGCTTTTTCACATGGTTGTTGACATTTTGTTCTTGACCTTCACTTATGTTGGCTGAGGCATGGTTGGTCTAAAAAGCTCGAGTTTTGACCGGAAGAAGCTATGATTGAGGTCATTGTAGTGAATATACCCCTGATGATGTCTTCTAGTTCAGTGGGTGAACTCTTTGTGAAGATAGGTCACAATGTGTGTTGGTGAATATGTTTGTAAGACTTCTCACCTTAATTAGTAAGTACTCATGTCGGATTTTTGACACTTCAATTCGACTAACTTCATAAGGAATTTGTCATTACATAGCAGAATGCGGTCCTTTAACTTAACAATTGTGTCTGAAACGAGTACCCTAGTCAGAACACTATGAATCTTTCAAATTCTAGTACATGTTGCTTTGTATCTTTGCTCAATACATCTCTTATAGATCAGTTGACGATTAAATCATTTCATTTCAAATGCGATTTTAGTTCTGTTAGTGGCATGCATTTATATATTTTTTTTTTCTCAAGGGAATGACATGCATTTATATTGTTTCCTATTCCAGGCTTCTTGCAATTTCCCTGGTGATTAATGTTCGATTGATGTCTGCGAAATCTTGAAATATCTTTCATTGATCCCACAACGATGGTAATGTTTCTCATTTAAATATATTGTCGCCCTTGAGAAGCGATTGTAGTTTTGCATGCCGAATGTTTTTATCCTTGCTTATGGTAGATGGGATTTACTAAGAAGGCCGGTAAATGTGGTATGAATGTATGATCCAGGTGAATGGTCTTTCAATGGAAGTTTTTATGTAAAAATGATCATGTCCCTCGTCTGGGTTACTAGAGTTAGGCATTGGATCCAAAGTCCTGAGTAAATCGGTCCAGATACCGGAATGCATCCATGGTTGTGCCAGGAATATTGTGCCGAGGTATTTTCTCTTCCTTCTACACCTCCTCCCACCTCTCCAGAAGATGCAGTTAGAACAAAGCAGCTCATTGGCCTAGTAAACCGACATTCAACTTTGATTCGGCGGTGGAACTACCTTTTTTATGACGGAATTGGAAAAGGGTAAAGGGAAGTAAGCATGGTGCAGGCTACTCTTTTTAAAAGTACAATCTTAATTAATAACTTAGTGTGATATTTGTTTAAAACTTTGCTTAAAATGTGCTTAGTTTAATGATAACTTGCTCACAAGTACAGATTCAGAGATTCTCGTGGGTATTTTAGCATCAAATGCTCAGTTAATCGAGTTCTCCGAGGATGCAAGTACAACCCTAACCTAATATTATTTTCATTTGAAATCGCGCTCATGTCTTTGTGCTTGCTTTATTTCTAATTCAAATAATGCGGCTGCTACTTTGTTTAATTAATTTTTCAATATTTTAGTGGGTTTACTTATGTCATATAATTGGATTACATTTTACAAATTATTAAATGTCAATTTATTACCCTGGAATCTCAGCACATTAATTAGAATGATCTAGCTACTAGCTTGGTTTTGGCACATTGTTAATACCTAATTTCTCTTGGTATTTTACCAAATAAGGATGACTTCTACTTCTTGGTACATTGTCTCTTTTGGCAATAAGGTTTAGTTTGAAAATTATTAACTATTACTTCGTACTATGTATCATTGTTTTATTAATAATACTCCTTATGTATTTAAAAGTCGTTGAGAGGAATGAGGAGATGTAGGTATGGTTAGTCCCCCCACCCCCCACCCCAATTGGTTGGAGGTTCGAGTCCTCACCCAATCCCTCCATTCCTGTGATAGTGTGAGGGCTCACCCCGTATCTTACCAATTTTAAAGTCATTGTTCAAACAGGAAAAACACTCGGTTGTGGTGAGACGGTGATAGTTTTTATTATTTATTTAAACAGAATGATAGTAATTTATAGTACGTGACACTTTGAACCAGAGCACTAGTTTGTTTTACAGATATATTTATTTATAATATTTAATATAACACAATGATTTTCCTTATTTTTTTAATAGAGCTTGGGTACAAAGGAGTTTTTTTTGGTCAAGATGAAATATAGGAATCAGTTAAATGTGGTCCAAAAAAGAATTAAAAAAAATTGAGTTCAGAAAGAATGAGAGAGAAAATGTTAGATGTTGTATAGTTTATGAAGTAGAGTATGAATAGTGGTCCCAATAATAGTATAAGTACATTGTTGTTGTAGTTGTAGTTGTAATGTTTTGTTCCTTCTTTTGAGGTGAACAAGTAAAGATTTGAAGTAGTTTAGCCTAGATTTCTGGTGCACTCTTTAATCTTCATAACTGTGAAAAGCCTATTGTGTGTAGCCTTATTTCTTTTCCAGTTTTTGGTCAGAATATGTCATGCTTTGGAGTTATGTTTTTCCTTTTTGCCATTGGATTGGTTATAATTAAACTAGGTTAATTTAAGCAGGTTAGTGCTAAACAGTGTTTGCCTTTTCTGTTTTAAGTTTTTTGACCGATATCAGTCCAGCTTTGCAAGTCAAAGCTTTGCTAACGAGAAGAATGAAACGAACATCCCCACTAAGGATGGCAATCCGGCCAATCCGAATCCGCCCCTACTCCAATCCGATCCGAAGAAGAAAAAAAATCCGAACCAAATCCGAGAAATAATAATCTGAATCCGTCTTTGTTTAGAAAATGCAACTTTAACTTTTCTATGTACTTTTATATTTTTAATTATTCAATTTATGAATTTATAGGTCTTTGAAGTTGATTATATATGCGCTGCTATTGATAATTGGGTCAAAATTAAATATAAAGTCGGAGTCGGAGGTTGGAAATTTAAGTTGGATCGGAGTTGGATTAAAAATCTGACATCTTGTAGGGTTGGAGTCGGATTTTGCATAATCCAATCTGATTCGACCCGACCCGACCCATTGTCATCCCTAATCCCTACCATTGCTCCTTTGGATTGTACTATGTTGCTGGTGGGGATCTTTAAGGTCAGTAGGGAGGATCCTTTGAATGAGTTTGATCCCTAGTCCTCAGGGATATGAGGTGGGAGCGATGTCACTACTCATAAAAATTTGTCATACGAAAGGGACAAATACTACTATAATTTAGGGTCAATTTTAAAGACAGCCATGAATAGGGTTTATAAGGACAATTTCGATTACGAACCATCTAGAATTTGGGTACTTATAAAGGTGTGAATTTGACTCATTAGAACGATATCATCTATATTGGCCTCTAGGTTCTTTTGCTTTACGCCATGAAATTATTTGCAATTTAAAAGACAAGTACTATATTCAGTTAGCTCAAAGCCTCAAACTAATGCTTATTATGTAAATTGATATTAATGACACCAAGATATTATTTCCATGATCTGGGTTAAAAATAAGTATTGAATGCATGATAAAATCACGCACAAATTAGGAACTGTTCGTTTCATCTTAATTTCATTTTAGATAGTTTGTTCCTAATTTCCTTCTCTCATAAACAATTCAGTTCACTAAATCATAACAAGCCCTTAATGTAATTAATGTTATATTTTCATTTATATTTCACACTTATAGCTTCTTATATGTATTCATTTTCTTTAAATTTATTGGGATTTTAATTGGTTATCCATAATTATTATACTAGGCGTGAGATTTAAATATTGGTCTTGAATCTCTTGATTATTAACGAATAAGGTAATATAAATAAAACAACAATAAGATGGGGGAGATGAAAATCGATCCCAATATCTCTGGGAATCGAGAATGGAACTCTAACCACCTGAAGTATCCTTCACTCTCTCACAATTAAAGTTATTATTGCAATATTATTTGACATACTTTCTTTGTTTCTTAAACATTGCAACATGGGGATGGACAATATTTTAGGTAATGGATAAAGGAAGAGATAATAGCAAATAACCTCTTTAAGTTTGATTATGTTAGGCATAATGGGATAAAGGTAATATGCATAATTCACAATACCCTCTTTAAATCTTGGCAAATGTATCACAAGCTTTAATCTAAAAACCAGTACTTGTAATACATATAAGAATCTCTTCTTTTCCTCATGCATTTCATCAATACAGGGCTAGCTGACTTTGTTCCTGGACGGGTTGTGGCTGTTGCATTGCTGAAGCAGGTTAAGAGGTTCTCGACGACGCAAGACATTGGGGCACGTGCGACATCTCATATCTTCACTAGGGTAGACTTTGCAATAGTTAGAGGAGTGGAAGCCCAGACTGTATCTCGACTTTTCACTGATTTATTGTAGGTTGTATGAATTTTGTTTTTAAGATATAATAATAATAATAATAATAATAATAATAATAATAATAATAATAATAATAATAATAATAATAATAATCTGACTTTGTTCCTGGATGGGTTGTGGCTGATGCGGTTCAACGGAAACAGGTTAAGTATGAAGCTTGTTGTTGGGGTGATTGTATATGGTTTCAGTCCTCTTTTTCTTCGCTTGGGGAATTAGAAAAGGAGGCTGCGTTGCTGAAGCGGGTTCAGATGTTCTAGATGACGCAAGACATTTGGGCTCGTGCTGCAACTCATATCTTCACTAGAGTAGACTTTGCTAGAGTTAGGGGAGTGGTGGGAGGGATTGTATCTCGACTTCCCATTAATTTATTGTAGGTTGTGTGACTTTTGTTTTTTAGATATACTAATAATAATAATAATAATAATAATAATAATAATAATAATAAATTTTAGTGATTAGACTCTATTTAGAATTTTCCTATAATAATAATAATAATAATAATAATAATAATAAATCAATTTTAGTGATTAGACTCTATTTAGATTTTCCTATGTAGGCCAATGGTGACATGAAATTGAATAGTTACAAAAATTAGACAAGTCAAAAAGATGTAACATTATGTTTGCGTGTCTCACTCACCCAATTGTTGGATAGGTACATTATATGATATGACATGAATGAATGAATTGTTGGATAGGTACATTATATGATATGACATGAATGAATGAATAAATAAATAAATAAAATAAATGAATAAATGAATAAATAAATAAATAAATGAATAAAAATAATGAATGAAGTTAATTTAACATACATGGATGGATGAATAGATGATAGATTGATTGCACCTGGAGTTTTGACTATTACTAGGCTACGACCTATTCGACATTATGTTTGGGTATTGTCCAATTTATCAAGTTTATTTATGTGGGACAAGTCGGTGTTAGCTGTGAATATATATGGAGTAAGTTTTAAGAAAAATATAAATATTTTACGCTTGTCAATGTTTTTTGAGGGGAATTTTACGCTTGTCAATTTATATTTTATTACATTAATATTGTAAAGCAAATTCTGTCAGAAAAAATCATTTATGACAACTATTTATTTTGGAAAAAACCTTATAAAATTTTTTTGACAAAGAGAAACCAGATTGTAAAATATTTTTGTTGAAAACAACCTAAAATATTTAATAACTCAATTAACCACTAATTTGCCCTTAGTTCTTCTAATTACTCATAACTCATTAACTATTTAATAATTAAATTGACTTGTAAATTAAAAAAAACAAACAAAACAAAAACAAAAACAACCCTCACCACCACCAGTCAGCCACCCTCTCCTTCTCCCCCTCCCATGGCAGCAACCCCCTCCCGGCCCCCATCCTCCGTCGCCGACTGGAACCCCTTACCCCCGCCAAACTGACCCCCCCCCTTCACCGTTTACCCTCGCCAACCACCCTCCTTCGGAAAACCACCCATCAATACCATCTTCTGCCATAACCACATCCCAAATATCCACCCCAAAACGCTTCATACGAAACCAAATCCCCTCCTCAATCTTCAATAATCACTCTTTAAACGCCGCAATCTCTCTCCTCCCATCTAATTACAACTTCGAAATACACAAATCCGTCCATCGAATCCTCTCTCTCTTCACGACCCCTTCACCACGCATCGCGCTCCAACTCCCCGAAGGATTTCTCAAGAATCTTTATTAGCCATAAAGCTAATAAAACTCAACAATGCCATCACAACTACAACAAATCAAGTTTAAGAGAGAGAGAAGAAGATTTAGTGTTGGTGTTTTCTTTGGGTGGAATTTTTGGGCCGGGTTAGGGTTAGGGTTTAGGAGGTCAGGAGGGTGGTCGTGGCGAGGGTAAAAGGGAAAGGAAGGGGGTCAGTTGGCGAGGGTGGGGAGTTCTAGGCGGTGACTGGGTATAGGGGAGGGGGCTGTTGCCATGGGAGGTAGAGAAGGAGAGGGTGGCCGACTGGTGGTGTTGAGGGTGATTTTTGTTTTTAATTTATAAATCAACTTAATTATTAAATAGTTAGTGAGAATTATGAGTAATCAGAAGAATGAAGGGGATGATTCAAAAAAAAAAAAGAATGAATGAAGGGGAAATTAGTGGTGTAATTGAGTGATTAGATATCTCAGGTTGTCTTCAACAAAAAAAAATTTTACAATCTGGTTTCTCCCTGCCTAAAAATTTTTTATAAGGTTTTTTCTAACAAAATAATTGTTATAAATGATTTTTTTTTTCTGACAAAATTTCAGTTAATATGAAATTAATCCACGGGTAAAATGCGTACTTTTTTTTTTAAGATTACTTTGTATTTAATTATCTTTTTTAATACTATCAAATATAAAAGGACAAAAAAAAAATTATCACCCTTTAACGGTTTTCGTCAAGAAAACCATTAATTGTAACTTTTCATCTGTTTTTTTATTAAAAAAAATCTTCAAATTCTATGTTAATATTTTGTTCAATTGATGTTTATAGGAGTCATTTTGGCTTTAGGTTAAAAATGAAAAAAAAAACATATTGAAAATGTCTTCTTTTTTTTTTTTCAGTTAGGTTTAAAATTGATAAAAGATTATTAAGGGCAAAAAATGACCCCGAAAACTTTAGTAGAGCAAATTAGGAATTTTTTTTCTTCAAATAATTAAACTTAACGATTTTCTTGATTAAAATTGTTAAACAGGTGTAAAATCTAATTTGTTTTGTCTTATTTTGTGATGAAGTGTGATACATTCATTTAATTATAAAACATTTGAAATGAATTTAATATAATTCTATCAGACTATGTTTATATCAATACATAACAAACAAATGACGTTGCTATTTTAGATTGGTGAAAGTCAATTTCGAATCACTTCCAATAATTATGCTCTAACAAAAGTTATAACATCTCCTTTATTATTTTTTTTAGGAAATATCTTGTTGATTCTTTTCTCTTTTATGTTTGTTGATGCTCATCAAAATACTCAATTATAAACAATTTGTAATTATTGACAATATCAACAAAAATTTAATAGAAATACAATTTCTACCCATCAAAAATTTATATTCAATGGTTAGTTAGCTTTATGGGCAGTGAAAAATAAAAATAGTTAGATTTGGAGTTGTATCAACAAAAGGCCAACAACACTACACTATTAGGTAAAGGGTAGGAACGTAGGTGTTGTTTTTGTTTAGGTTTATTTCCACTGTTTATTTCTTGCATTAATCTATACAATTGCCGGTAAAATTACATTTTATTTTTATTTTTAACTTTATTATAATATTATTATTCTTATATGCTTGGGTAGATTAATTATATCACATGCAAATTAATGTGTTTTTCTTATTACGGAGTATTTTACTTTTATATAACATGAAATTAAGCAGATACATGCTTTATTGTTAGAGTTGGTGAGAAATAATAAAAGAGAAATGACGCACAATATCTAACAAGGGAAAATTTCTCAATAGAATAAAAAACCATAAACGACGAGCATCAAATAATCCACTATATGAAATTAAATAGTTCAAGCAAACTCATTATATGAACTCACAAAGGAATAGTACAAAAAGAGAGCTATGGATTCATAGAGACAAGGTGGATTGCATACAAGGAGGCTAAAAAGACTTGTGTATAGATATTACTTATTGTGTATATATTGATCGAATGCTCATAACATATACAAGCATTTATAGTTGAAAATAGAGAATGAAATAAATGGCTAAAAGATTCCAGAATTTCCTTCATCATGTAGCTATAATATTCTAGAATGTTCATGAACCATATTTTTAGTTGCTTCTAAAGTTCCAAAGTCAAGAATTTTCTATATTATTTTAGTGACTTGCATAGTAGAAAATTTTAGAGAAATGAAAAGCAATACCAACCAAGCTACATGTATCTAGATTCCGAAAGCTTCTACAATATACATAAAATACTCCATCTAACAATTGGGCCTATACAATTTGGGCCATACCCAATTGGTAGATAAAAAAAATCATCATATACAACCAAAACTCAATCTACCTAGAGATGCAATTCAATACACCCTATCAACCATTACTCGTAAATATAGAGAGGGTAATAAAACAAGACTTTACTGATTGAGGATTCTCCCTCTTCCTCTCCCTTCATTCACATCATTAGAAAGTGTAAAGCTCTCATCTCTCGGCCTGAATGGAAGGTGACTATTAGTCACTGTTATAGGGAAGCTAATAGTGCAGCTGATTGGTTAGCTAACTATGGAGTTTACGTTGAGCAGAAGATGGTCATCTTTGAGGCGGTCCCTAGGGACCTTCAGACCGTTTTATTGGAGGAGCTGTGCGGAGTAACTAGTGCTAGATTGGTTCCTTCTACCAAGCCTTAGTCCTAGTAGTTTTTCTTTGTTTCGTTTTTTTTTTATTTTTTATTTTTCTTCTGTTTTTTTAATTTTTGTTTGTTTGGTGTGTTTGTTTTCATTGTTTATTTTTATCTGAGGGCTTGCCCCTCTCTTTCACCAAAAAAAAAAAAAAAAAAAAAAACTTTATTGCAGCTCATGATCATTTTGTGCAAGCTCACTAATATATTGATCCATTTATAGGTAGATTTTGCTTGATCATATGTACGAATAAAGTTGATGACCATTAACCACCATCGTTTTACTCGGACACAATTAGTTCAAGATAACTAGCAATTTTATATTTGGAAATCCAAGACAAGTTTTTCCTGATTTTCCTTCCATATGCAGAAGCGCCTAATAATTTTGGAAGGAGAAATAAAAATTAAGGAGCAAATAATATTTCAGCAACTACATTAAAAAGACGAAGAAATTCTTCCAATGTTCAACCAAAGTTAAGATTAGTCTTATTGTCTAAAAGGGCAAATCTGAATCAGTAAGCGCAATGCAGATATGACGCTATGTATTCACAAGTAACAACAGCAGTCGGCATCTCTACATATTAGCCGAACTTAACCAAACAATAGATTGTAATGGAACATACATACATATATACAGCTTTAGTAAAGAGTTTTATGTTCCAACTTTAAACATCAAACAATATTTGTAGCAATATCTACACACGACAGTTAACATGGACAACTGGAGACTTTCAACAGCCACGGATATTTTGCATATAGTTGGACTAACTCGGGCTACCATCAGTTTTGAGAAAGCGAACATATTCCAGCTGAGACATCTCCCCTCCATTGTTGGGATCAAAACTGCACCTATGAAAACTGGGAGGAGAAAATAGAAGTTGGAAAAAAACAAAAGTAAGCAGAAGGCTGTAAAATACTTCCAAGTGAAATATTAATAACTAGTGCAATAAACAATCATACAATCAAACATTTAAATATAATCAGAAGTTCTGATTCAAGTTCCAGCTCATAAAGTCCCTAAAGAATGATAAGCAAATAGTTCCAAGTCCCAACAAGTTCCGAAAATAGAAGGTTGAAGAAACATAAGAATTACAATTTGCTACTGCAATAACCAATCAAGCATATTCATATAAGCAGCTATTCAATTCAAGCTCCTCAAGTCCCTAGTGAATTGACTAGTTTGGGAGCATGAAAATAAGGAGCATTGAAAATGTGTATGATCATCTCTTTCCCATCAACATAGAGCATAACAAATCCTCCAGCATGATTGGCACGCAAGGGAAGCAAAATCATAAGATGGTGAAAACTTTATAGTTTCGACCATTAGCTTAGGTAAGTGATGTCCTGACATGATTGTTCAAGGCACTCAATCACACAACTCAAAGTAATAGTAATTCCAACAACACTACATGAGAACTAATAGAGGTTTGCACCTGTTGACCAAGCACTAAAAATTTCAATCACAAATTTCCCAATCTGATGATCAGTACACTAAAGATCACACACATAAAAAACTATTCAAACTATCTCACAGATATTAAATAAAGCCAACTCTATCACTCTAAAGCAATAAAAATTCCTAGGAAATGGCAGATATCAATCAAAAGGGTGAAACAGTAGCAAGCCGCATAAAAGAAGGCACCATTATTTATACGAAAAGAAAGACCCTATCTAACTGAAAGCTTTTGACACAATCTAACTGAAAACTAAAAGTGACATTCGCTTCAAATACTAAAACAGAAGAAACCAAAGAGGCACTTAAAGCTAAAGACGGGTTCTCGAAACAATTCAGTAATCGGGTTCAGTTTCATAGATATTTCTGTAATTGTAGATGCTATCAGAACAATCATACTCAGAGGAATTCTCTAATCTTTAAGTCAAGGGGATCTATACAATCGCATGCATCCTCTCCTTCCCTCATCAAACTCTCTGCCCCCATCCTCTGCACCAAGAAATGCAGTGATCATAATCTGAGGGAGAGCAACAAACTTCCCATACAACACCAGCAAGGCTCTGCTCAACCAAAATGTCACAATAGATAGAAGGGGAATAGGTTTTTACATTGAGAGTTCTAGACACCACATACCCTCCCCTCCTCTAACCACTTTACACTATCATATTACATAGTAACAATATTGGCAGTAGAAAAAAGTGTCATGGGTTACGGTAGCACAATTGATTGCTGGCTGTGATGGATATATATTTCTGCCACTGCCTGACTGCCTGTGCTGCATTAGCCTATTAAATAGGGGAAGGGAGGGGTAAGGGAGCCAGCAAGAAAGAATAGGAAGATTGGGGATAATGGCGTGTTGAAATTACAGCTGCCTTTTTTTTTAAAAAAATAAATAAATAAATCCTTTCTGAATTTGCTTCCTCAAAAATAATATGATGGGCTAGGATTTGGGGAAACACTGAAAATAAACTCTGACTTCATCTATACCCAACTTTGTTCTCCACCAAACAAAAGTGATCAGTTTGGGTTACTAGAATGAACGAACCAAGATACCTCCTAAGTGATTTCCTATGCGAAAAGTGGACATTAGATGGTGGAGAAACATAAAGTCATAAAAGGTTTAAAAGTTAGCCCTCGCACTGGCATGAAAGTTGCCAATGGCAACATATGGGTATAATCAATTACAAATAACAACCTTTGTACCTTTTTTTTTTTTCCCAAGATTAACAATTATTGTTTACTTCCCTTACAATCTATTTTCATAGCTTATACTTATATCATTTATTGCTAATATAATTAGTTATTTTAATTTATAATTTCCCACCATTTCCATTTATCATACTACCTCCGTTAAATGTTTTCTGCAACTTTGGGAGGGTTTGCGGTTCACGAAGCAAAATTTGATATTGATAATTAATGTATTCTAGGGGTATGTAATTAAGGTGGAGATAGAATATTTGGATAATTAATCAAGCACCCACTGCCACCACCAAAACCAACCAACACCACCCACTACCACCACCAAGACCAGCCAACAGTCCAAAACCGCCTTCACCAACACCACCACCGCGGCACTGCCTTCACCAACACCACCGCCGCCTTCAACGCTAGCTTCACCACCTATACTACCACCCTATGATACCACCACAACCAATCCCCACGAGACCACCACCACTACCAGCCCCACGAAATCACCTAAAAAACTCCCTGCACTTCAATGGAGTCTCTTTTCTCCGTCACCCTCGATGCAAAATCAGAATGGCGTTTGGCTCACCAGATACCCACGAGTAAAAGCCCTATAGTTTTATTACTTTTTACTTCTTCATTATTGTTTAATTTGGGAATTAGGGTTTATGCCGAATCCGAGGAGAAGTTGACGAATTGGACACGAATTTCGTGTCCGAATCCCATACGCGTCGTGTCGACGCGCGTTCGGCGGCCAAAATGCCGAGTCCGATTAACAAAGGCGCTAAGCAAGTTTTAGCAAGTCAATGGATTGTAGCACTGTAGATTTGAACTAGTGACACTATTCAGAAACTTCTTCCCCTATCTCTCTCCAACCACAGCACAATTCAGACTTATTACTTAAGTTAACAACTCTACTGACTCCATACTTTTTTCATAAAACTCCTCACTTTTTGCATAATTTATTTTGAACCTCCTCGCTCAAATCAACCCACTAAAATTTTGGTTTGCTTCTTTTGCTCTTTTATGAGGATGTTTTAGTGTTACAACTTAGGTATTTAGAAGTTTCTAATGATAACGTGGTGAATATCATCCACTTTCAGCTTTTTTGGGACATGGCTTATGGAATATGGACTATAAATTGGAATTAAGGCGAGAGCTTTTAATATACTACTCATATATTTCATCATCCATCTATGTGGCCACACTACTTAGGTACTGAAACCTTTCAGGCACTATATCAATCATACATTCATCCATATCACACTAAGTTATAAAGTCAGCCATTGAAAAATTGTAATTTAACCTTCACTCATCAAGTCATAACAAGAATATAGCTGTCATTGTCATGTAAAAGATAATAAATTAAATATATTTAAAAAAAAAAATCAAAATCTCTGTCCCAGTCTACTACGCTATGTCGCTATGTCATTCACTCAAAGTCTAGGGGCAATCGTAAGATCAACATAAATAGAGTAAAAATTTCCATATACCTTCCATCCAAGCCAACCACAATGACAGTGTTGTGGGATCCAAATGCAACAATGCATCGGGCATTCTCAGGTAAATGAAAACGCGCAAATGACCATTCAGAACTAAAATATTTTGGTAGTACTCCTGCCAAAAAAACAAGGGATACAAAAATGTTGGTCAATGAAGGCAACTTACTAAAAGTACATCCTTTTACAGCTTAATTCATGATGCACTAAAAGTCTCTTCTGAATCACAAACAGACTGCTATCATGGAAAGCCTTTTCCCCTCTATTTCTGCTATAACATTACTCTTTCCTATTTTAAAACAAGTTACTAAATTATCAATGCACTTATAGACTTATAGTAGTTTGATACTATAGAACTTTTCAGATAGTTGCACGGATAGATTTAGACAAACGTTAGAATTTTCTTTAATTATATTTAGTTCTTTTATAACAGTACATAGTTCTACAAAAGGGATAAAGGATTTTCCTTCTTTGAATGCTCAATTGTGTTCACAACCAACTGACCAACAAACCCACACTCCCCCCAACACCCCCCCCCCCAAACCCAAGAAACAATCTATAGAATTTTTTCTAGTAATATCTACCGCATAATATAGCAGGTATACTATTAATCCTACCTTTCACAAAAGGAAGAGATAAACTCGGATTAGCACCGGCATTGACATTCTGAGCAATGAGGGAATCAAGAGAAGATGAAGAATTCTGATGCTGCAATTCGGAAGTAGAATAAGGCCGAGCTGATTCAACATTACCAAATACGCGGACTCTAAGACTGAATATATGGATAGTGCCTCTATCACTTGATACAGCCAACCATTGAATGTTTTGAGAGAAGGCAAGATCGTATATATCAGCCTTTTCAGTCCCTCTACGAACCTATAAAGAATCAGACAAAATCACTAAAAGCTACTTGATCAACATAGTATCAAATCTTGATAGGCAACCAACTAAAACAAGTTCCACTTGATCTTGAAACCTTAGAGAGGCAAATTGAGTTGAACTCAAACACAACTCAAGAAACTCATGAGCAACTCCATATCTATCATTAATTTAGAAAATATATTTTGTTATTTCGTATACTTTGTAAAATGTATACCTTTAATATTAAATGAAAATACATATTACTTTAAGAAAAAAGGGGGGGGGGGGGGGGAGGAATGATAAGATGGAATTTGAACTGTTTATGGCTTCAAAAATACGGAGTATACTGCAAACTAAAGATTTACAGTATTACATTGCAACTTTATGCTTTAAAATTATCTTCTTACAGAGATGATTTGTAAAGTTAGATTTCTACCGAATCCAATATGAACATAGACTCCCATTCATCACATTGTCACAACAAAAAATTGGTCCTCCTGCAGGACTCCAACTACTTTTACTACGTAAAGATAAATTGCAACATCAAAAAGAGAATCTCCCTGCTTTCTTTCCTCCTGAGCACAAGCTCTAGATGGAAAAAGGAAAGGAGATTCTCTTTCTAAAGCAAGAGTAAACATGGTAGGTAGCTACACTCTACAAGCACATAAAGAAAACATGGCTTCAAGAGACTGCTTCTGTTGGTAAATATTCAAAAGCTCACTCCTTAACTACATCTTCTTTAAATTAGCATAACAATATTAGAAATCGCATAAAAGAGCGCTTAGAAACTAAGACAAACAAAAGTAAATATAGAACTTGTGAGTTTCCTAGTGGAATTTTACAATTATATTACTCTGTCCATTCCAAAAGTCCAACAAATTTTCTTTATTTTAATTTTTATCATCTGTCATTCTATATACTACAAATTATCATCCAGCAATTCAAAACACCAATTTAGCTACTAAATATTTTATGCATAGCCTTAAAAACCTCTTATTCTGGGAAGGAAGGAATACCTCTTGCAAACAAGTACCATCCATGGTATTGAAAATCCGTACAAGTGTTCCCTTCGTACTAGCTGTAGCAAGAATGAGTCCATCCGACGTCAATGCAAAGCATGCCAGGCGAGATTCATGGGCATTTATAGTCTTCGTCACATGAAGTCCAAAATGTTCAACCCTAACCTGCCCTCTACGACGACCAGGGCAAGCCAGGACAAATGTATTTACATGGTGTGACAAGCAACACAACCCTCTAGGATTCGCCAAAGTCTCAATCTGATGAAGCAACTTCAAGTCCAAGAAGTTATAAACATACACCTTATGCTCCAACACGACAACAATACGGTCCCTCCTCAACCTCACACCACGAACTTCTGACCTAAACGAAAACTCACCAATGCACCTACTTTGATGATCATCCCATATCATAACTTTATTAGGAGAATACTGAGACTCCATCCCACCACCAACCAATGCCAATATATTACAACGAAAGAGCATCTCAACGATTCCGAACCCTCCATTCTTAAGATCACGCCTAAATGTTTCCTTGAATGGATCACAATTATAAATCCTGAAACCACGACTAGTACCTACAGCAAAACAGGTATAGTCCTGGTTCCAAGACACACTCAACAATTCAACATTATCATTATTGTCATCAGCAATATCATTGTTACCAGTTTCGGAACGACGAAAAGGGTCAGAAGTTCCAGAATTCGATGAATCAAAAAATGATGATGGAACAAACCCTTCAGAATTTGAAACAATTGAACTCATTGACTTAGCAGATACCAGTATACAAGATCAAAACACCCATATGAAATTATACCCACTAAACCTAACAACAAATTCAATGTTTGAATACCCTTTAATCTTGAAATTCTTAATTTGAGCTTGCCAATGTCAAAATTCAAAAACAAAAAAAAATAATAATAATTCAATATGAATTCGAATGAAAAAGAGATGAATTTTATTTACCTAGCGAGTGATTCTGGGATTCAATTTTCTGGGAAAGATTGAATCAGCCCCAATTTATTTTCTCTCAAAAAATTAAAAAATTGAATGTTAATTCATCCTCAAATCCTCAAATTTGGGGGAAGGAAGAAGGAGAAGGGAGGTTTGGAAGAAGCCTTCTGACTTTTTGGGTGGTGTTGTAATAGTAATCATTTACAACTTTGTAAATTGTTTCATACGTTTCAAATTGACAATAATACTAATTAATCATTTTGATAACATGATTATATTGTGATTTGTGAGGCATTTTTAACTAACATGGAGGGCAACTTGAAAGTGGAGATTCCTTTATCCTTTCTCTTATATTTAAGATCCGTTGTTTGCTAATTAAATTGGATGACTCTTATTTCGATTTGATCCAATAAGGTTTCTTGTAACTGAATCAATGAAAATATTTCTTTCGTATATAATCACTATGACATTTTTTTTTTTTTTTTTGTTTTGTGGGACAATAATTGCTTGTTAAAAAACATATTACGTAAATAAAAAAAATTTAGGATTGAATATCTTCTACATCATTGTCTTTGCGGCTTATACACCAATTTTAATGCTCATTTAATATGAGCTCCACCGCTCCATACATGTCCAATTAAGTTGACATCTTTGTAACAACATCCACACCTAAACAAAGAATATTCTCCCTTAAAAATTGTGATTTACACAATCAACAACAATGAATTTACCAATCAACAATCATTATTTGGCGTTTCAACTGATTATTCTAACTTATGTCACTTGATTTACTACATATACAAGTATTTCATTTATCTAGGTTATAAGTTGGAGTGCTCATCTCAAATTAATTGCCACGAATTTTAATTCAATTCATATCAATTTAACCATACTTCTTTTTTTTTTTTTTGACAAAGATACTATTAATGAAAAGCATGATTACAACCTAAACTAAGTAAAGAAAGCAGAATTACACGATAGAACATTGGGGGTTGGACCAAATGACTTCTTACGTTTAGGAAACCAAGTATACTCGGTGGGACATGATGCTATTCGTTTAGAGCCGCTTAACCTGCAAAACAAAGAGTTAGTAAAACATGTTGGAGACCTATTTTGCAAAGAGGCATATTTCCTTCTAAACCTGGGACGGGAAGACGAGACAAAACCCAACAATATTTTAGAGGAGGAAGAGCTTGGGTGAACGAGAGTCTGCAAAGGGGAAGAAACAGGTGAAACTGGTAGGAGTATCGACCCAGCTTCACACGATGACTCGTGACTTGCCATACCTGTGGATGGATCTTCTTGCATCAAATTTGGAGTTGTTTCACACCTATCGTGCCCTTTCACAGGGGGGTGACTAAACTCCATTGGTGGAGAAACATTTTGAGTTTCACCACTATCCATCCTTTTTAAAGGATTGGCTACTCGGATGGTAATAAAATTCTTTTGGCGAGAACAAAAATATTGTACTGTTCGCCCCTTGGAAATCGCTCCATACATTGTTGGAGTGAGACGCAAATAGGAATCATTTCGCTTTCGGCTTGAGAACCGAAAACTTGACCCTGTCAGATTTGGGTTTTTTTTGTTTTTGAAGTGCCCTTCAAAACACAATTGTTATCAATAACGTTGGGCCTAAGATCTTGGTTGGTAGGGTTGACTTTATCCTCCAAATCCAAAGAATTGCCACTAACGTCCTTTTCCATTTTGGTGTCGTCTTTCACACTTGAACACCTACGAACATGACCATCTTCACGACCATCTCCTTCCTTCCTTTTCCCTTTTTTCCCTAACTTCCTACTATTATCTTCCTTCCCACAACAGACATAATCTCTAAACTTCTCATCTTTCCTTGTTACTGCTAGTGCCTCATCAACAAAATCCGGAAACCAACCCAATAAGGATATCACCTCCTTAAATTTTTGCTGGGACTCACTATTTTTTACAAAATTTTGGCTACACCCAAGGGTAGGCAAAAATCCCTGCACCCCCTACCAAACGACACCGCTTCACAACTGATGCCCCTACCTCCCAACAACAATATCCGTGCTTCCACTAACAATGCAACCCTCACCTCAACACCCTCGCTCACCCAGCCAACACCATCAACATAACAAATTATGAGCAGAAATTATAATCGTATTAATCAGGAGAAATCAGAAGGAAAAAAATATTGCAAAAGGAACCCTAGATCAAGCAAAAAATGGAACTCTAAATTGAAGCAGCAAACAGAGCAATTTGAAGAAGTTATTGAGTTCACACGCACATCAATCAAGTTCGCTCGAATTGATTATCAGTTTAAGAAGCAAATCATGAGCCTAATCGTAGCAATAACAAGCAAATAATACGAGAATCATATAGAAAATCTGATCCAAAATTACGTAATTTTTAGGATGAAGATTTAATTGGGATAGAATTGCAATGATGGTGATTTTTAATTGTTGTGGTGACATCGTGGCAACTATGTTGAGGTAACAACAGTTACTGTGACAATGATATATGAGTAATTTTTTGTAATATATGTGTTATTGAGTTATTCATTATTGATCATTGAGTTATTCCCGTTGTGTATTCTTAGAAGATCTTCCTACTTAATTTATATATGCTCTTTTGTCTAATAAAAAAATGAACAGTTTTGTGTAGTTATGTTTTGGGATTTATTATGTGTTTGATTTTCTGTAATTGATCATATGCCTTTTGATTAATGAACATTTTATCATATAATGGTTGATCATATGTGTTACTGTTTATGCTCATTTATATATTGATAATTTGATCATTTATTATTTATGCACTGGGTAACAAGGACATTATTTCTTGTAAAGAATTGAGAAAATCTAAGCAAGGAGAGAAAGAGTTTTAGACTAAAAAAGACGGTTTTGTAAGAGATGAAGAAATGATAATTCATTACAAATGAAAAAATTTGTTTGTTCTAATGAGGCTTTTGTTGAGTATTTATATAAATCATCATTTCTTTAATTGAAGGCTCATACAAAATCACTTTTTAATAAGATATTTCTTCCAGTTGTAAGGGAGTGGATGATAATATTTCTAATGGTTTTAATTAGATAATTTTGTGTAATAGATTATTACTCGAATTGACGCATGGTATTGTACATTTTATTGGATCATATTATAACAAAGTTTTAAAATTATAATACATAATAAAACTTGAACGTACTACTAGATATTAAAATATACAATACAATTCCACATATAATTATCAAACACAATAAAACTTCTCGATCCAAATTCGAAAAATTGAAGCTTGTATTATAGGCTCATATATGTTGCTTGGCGACTCCATTCATGCCTTCTTGGTTTCCTTCTTATTGTCATTTTTCTTTTTTCCTTGCATTGCTATTGTGCGGTCTAACTCATAATAACAACGATTTTTTTTAACTGATAGACAAAGACAAATAAATTATTGGATTTGAACTAAAACAAACCAATTCTCGTATAAATATGAATATTGTAGAGTAAGACAATTGACCTGATCGACATGGAAATAAAAATTTATTAATACATAAATGGACATATATTAGTTTGAAAATGACCATCTACTATTATGGAAATGAACATCTATTAATACACAAATCAACATGAAATATATATGTGAAGAAATTCTTGAAGCTATCAATATGTGAGGACCATATATCCATATGAGAAAAGACATATATTGAAATTCAAAATTAAAATCAACATGAAATATTTGAACGTCGCCCGCAAATCTCCACATAAAGCCCACAAATATTTTTACTTTGACTCTTTTGCCCTTTTTCTAATTTTTACCGAAACCGTAATTCACTCTCACGAAGAATGTGGAGCTGGAGTGGATCGCCGAGGGACACCGAAGAGCCGTCATCGTCGCCGGAAAGCGAGATAATCCGGGGGAAAAATTACGAAAAGTAGGGGTGGCGTCTGGTCAGGACGCCGCCACCATGGCTGTGGCGTCAACGCCGCCACCATGGCTGTGGCGTCCTGGCCAGACGCCGCCACCATGGCTGTGGCGTCCTGGCCAGATGCCACCCCTACTTTTTGTAATTTTTTTTTTTTTTTTTTGTAATTTGTTATTTTTTTATTTATTTATTTTTCTTTTTTTTTTGTAATTTTATTTAAACTTTTTGTAATTTTTTTTAAATTTTATTTAAAGTTTTTGTTTTTTTTAATTAAACATTAACACAAAAAATTAAATATTAACACAAAAAATTCTGATTTAAAAAAAAATATATACATTAGAAATAAAAACATTAACACATAAAACAAAAATATTAAACATTAACAAAAGAATTCTGATTTTCCAAAAAAAAAAATATTAGACAAAAAAAAAGTGGTAGGGCGCCTGGCCAGGACGCCCAGCCCCTGGTGGTGGCGTCTGCTCCGGCCGCCGGGACCAGGGGGCTGGCGTCTGACATGAACGCCCAGCCACGGCGGTGGCGCCTCTGGAAAATGCCACAACCGTGGCTAGGCGTCCAGGTCAGACGCCAGCCCCCTGGTTCCGACGGCCGGAGCAGACGCCACCACCAGGGGTTGGGCGTCCTGGCCAGGCGCCCCACCTCTTCTGGTTTTTTTTTAAAAAATTTTTTTTTAAAAAAAACCCTGCCACCGTGAGCCGTCCTTCCCTCCGCCGCTGTGGCCGCCAAGTCCTTGCCTTGCCGCCTCAACATTGCCGTATTTTCGGGTGATTAGAGTGTGGGTATGGGTTAGATTTTTTTATTTTAGGTTTAGGGCAATAAGGTAAATTCAATATAGATTTGTGGGCTTTATGTGGAGATTTGCGGGCGATGTTTAGCAATCCACAAAAAGAATTATGAACGAACAACCGTATGTTAATATGTGATATTATAATTGACCATATACACTATAACACTATTATGTAATTGAACATCTACTAAAATAAAAAGGAACATTCAATATTTATGTTATGTGAAAAAGAGAAAATGACTTATTACGCGATATATATATATATATATATATATATATATATATATATATATATATATATATATATATATATATTTTGTAAATGAACTTTTTTCTTAAAGATTATAAATTAACATTTTAATGCTTATTATAAATGAACATGTACTTATTTATAATTGAACATATGATTTTTTTTTTAAATGAGCATATAATAATTTATAATTGAACATTTAATTGTGCAATATTAATATAGATGAAAAAATGTATTAAATTTATATTTATTTGCTAATTAAGTTGTTTTTGAAAATTTTTGTGTGGGGTAGTGATAGTCTGATAGATGCTTATGGCAAATTCAATATTCAATATGTTTCATGTAAATGACCATTAGTATGTATTTTTTAATTGTTCATTTTTGTAAATAAATATGAACACATTGTTAAAATAATGAACACAGTTCAATATGAGAATGAACAATTATTAAAATATAAATGAACATTTTTTAATAAGAGTAAATTGAGTATATAGGTATTAAATTTCAAATAATGAATATTCAATATGAGATTGAACAAGTAATGCAATGAGAATAATAATGAACATGTATCAAATCCAATTGAACATATTTTAATGTGAAAATGATCATATATTGATGAACATGAATTCCGTCTAAAATGTACATTATTGCATGATAGATTATATTTACTAGCCCAAAATCACCTAATAACAAGTTTAAAATGAACATTTACGATAGACTAACAATTTTAATTGAATTATGTTATAATTTTGGGACATTCTTACATTCTTAAAATATAATTCAGTTATAATTATAAGAATCACGCACTTACTTCCATGTAATGTAGGAAATTACAAATTGTTATTGAAAGTCCTTATTAAATCTATAGAAAATATATAAAATAAAAAGAGGATAAATATGGACATTTATCAGAATTCTAATGATCGTCGACTAATATGTGAATGATCATATACTAATATATAGATGAACAATATAATTATCAAAATTAAAATCAACATTATTGAATTAGAATTTTTAGAAGTTTATGAAATTCAAAAGAAAGTTAATAATATATATCTTGACTATGCATCTAAATAATGGGATTGAACATTGCAATATATATCCGAATAAACATCTACTTAAAATTCAAAATAACATCTATCAATATCTTGACGACCATGTATTTAAAAGAGAATGAATAAATTCATTCTCTTTTAAGTACATGGTCAAGATAACATATATCTACATCAAAATGAACTAAAAAATTAACTCATAAAAACATTTATCAATATCTTGACTATGTACCTACATTGGCTACATCAGCACAAGACTTTGATAAGACGTTTTTTTTTTTTTTTTTTTTATAAACTTCTATATGTAAATGAGCATCTACTTATGTATAAATGAACATATATTAAAATAATAATAAACATGACATGAATATTAATGAGCCTTGTTATTAAAAATATATGGGTTAAATATATGGTTTAACATTCAGTTT